TGGATCTATACGTACTATAATGAAGATGACGATATTCACTAATAATAATAAATAATGAGAACAAGAAGAAGGAAATAATTTAGTTCTTCACGAGATGTTCAAAATATGTTTACAGTCTTTTTTTTTCGTTTAGAAAAAAAAAATGGGGTCGAGAGTTCGTACAGAGAGAAAAAAAGAAAAGAAAAAGGTGGCTGAAATTACTAACGCGATTGATCATAGTTTTTTTTTTGTTCTGTTCTATAAAACACATACATCACAGCACTCTAGGCGACTTTAAGTTTTCTTTTGCGCGAGAATGTGCTGTTCCACTTTTGACACACATACACACACATATACACTCCTATAGCTCCTCTTTAACAGGAACGAAACGACGTGGTAAAATAGTAATGAAACATAATGTAGCAGTGGTTTTGTCTTTCTCTCCTTTTTTTTTGTTTTGCAACAGCAACAGTTCTCCCAAAATGCGGTGTTGTTATTTTTAACCATATAAATAAAATAAAAATTTTTAGCGTTCCTGTTATATATATGTGATGAGAAACTCTATATTAGTTTTAACTAGAAAGTGATTCTCAAGTTACAAATAAACGATTATTTTTTTTTGAGAGTGCTAAAATAAACAAAATAAAAACAGAAGGAGAGAAGGTAATAGAGAGAATTATGAATAATCTCATTAAACCTATAAGAATTAAAATCTGAACATGATAATAAACTTATTAAATGCGTGAAAAATTTATTATATTGAATAGATTAAGCTTGTCATTTTGATTTCAAACAATATCACGAAAAACTTGAGTGAGAACAAAACACTCAGTCTTGTTAAATCAATAAATAAACAAACGGGTTCATCATTTATATTCGAATAGACTTACACTTCTATTATTCAAGACTAAATAAACAAATAATATATATTTTCGAAAGTTGCGTTATAAAAAACACAGTCTATTACATAATAAAAGTAAGTAGAATTCTAGGTAGAGTATTTGACTAACATTTTTTCATGACCTGATTAAAAAAAAAGGTATTTTATTCTTCTATTAGATATGTTAAAATTATTTTTGTTGTGTTACACAACCGCCCAAAAATTTTAAAAAAAAAAAATTAAAAAACATCCAAAAAAAAATTCAAAAAAAAAAAAAAAAAAAAAAAAAAAGAAACGTTTTCTCCATACTAATGAAAATAACATTGAATCAAAACTCTAATATCAATTTAAACATATGTTTATTTCTCATCAATTGTTTGTATGCGATCGATACAGCGCATTTTCTTTACTTTTATGAAGGAAAATAGTGTTTGTTTAAATAACGATGATAAATTCAAGATGTTGAAAGAACCAGAGGAAAAAATTAAATCATTTATTTCTTAACAACAATTATTCAACACCCAAGAGTTATTTTATAATGAAATACTGATTGATATATATATATATATATATATATATGTGTGTGTGTGTATGTGTGAATATTCTATAAAATAGGAAGAATTTTTCCCTGTACAAAGCCATATATCCAATAGAAAGATATTTGAAAGTAGTTGATCATAAAATGTTTAACAATAACTTTTTTATAACAGTTTTTCATTCACTATAATCAGTTGAGACGCATGACTGAAATAAAGAAAAATAGAATTTTTGACATTTTACAATCTCATGTTGACATTTATAGATAATTTTAGTACGAGCGCTGAGTCGATCAGAAACTTATTTTCTATTAAAGAATCTTTTCTGTTTTAAAATAATAAATTTTCAGTTTTGGATAAAAAAAATTAAACAAAAGTTAGAAAACAATCTCTGTTATGGGATATACAAGATCGATTTTATACATTATTGTAGTCGAGAGGACGGTATATGTCTTAATTCGAACTAAGAATCTTTTCGATGCATGAACATAAATGTATAAAATGTCTAGTCGACTATATGCCTCAGGATTTTTGTTAAACATGATAATATATCCAGACTAAAATATTAGCTGGCTCAGTCTATAAATAATTTCCTCTAAAATGAATGACAGATTAAAACAGTACTTGTAAACGAATCACTCTAGGATATTGTTCTATCTCATTATTATATCAGTTTTTATAGCAGTGCAACAGAAGTAATAGGCATTGAACAGTCCTATGCTTTTTCTTTAGATGTAAAAAAAAATCAACGATAATTCTATGTGCACTATTATCACATAAAGCTTAATTTTTTAATCTCTTAGGAATCGAATATCATGATGATAAATAACTTTATGTGACTGTATATAAACAGACATACCAAATTCATCTGATCAAGATAGAAAATGGATTGATGATGTATTAATAAGAAGTAGAAGAAAAAAAATCATTTAGGAATAGTTGCTGTTTCAATTTTATATCCGTTATCGTATTTATCTCTTTTTTTATATGTATAAAGATAATAGAATAAAATTTGGTAAAAGTCTTTATTCTTAATCATAAATTCGAGATTACACACGACTTTTTATAACCTTTCATTCATAATGTTCATTTTAGCAAGTTGGTTTTGTACGTATAACAATCACGTATAAACTAGTGTGTAGTAGCGATCACCTATATTGTGATCTGCAAAAAAAATCGGTAATTATTGATTTCTTACTTAATTGAGCCCAGTTTGAATACTTCGACCATCGCATATTGTCCGAATTAAATGAAATATGATGTAATCTGATCCGATTACATCGAAACCTATTTTCTAGAATTTAACTAGTAGGCCTTGTTGCATCCGACCAGAAAGTAGTAAAAAATACTTTTTCTGCTATAATTAACTGACAAATAGATTTTGTGACAAAAATAAGGTTTAAAAAGATCTTTTACTGAGCAGCTTATTAAAAGGAAGTGATTAAATGCATAATTACTTCATTATCAAATTGATTATATTCTGATTGCTACTCATGAGCGAATAAAAGAATGTTCTATTAATCAACATCTAACAAAGACTGATAGAATTTAGAGAATGATTACAAAAACCTCACTGATTTACCCAATTTTTCATAAACACTAAAATTTTCTTTCATTTTATTATGGAGATATGCATCATAGGAGTAGCGACACCAGAAAAATCCTCTACTAAATATTTTCGAGAAGCCATTACTTACACTCGACTAATTAATAACTGTCTCGGGAAAGATTCATAGCTAATAAATGAGCTATTACAGCTCAAAAGTTCATATTATCCCGCACATTTAAATGATTTTTCATATCACTAGATAAAATATCGCTCAATATTAATTTTTGATGCTGAACTTGTGGAGCTCGCAAAACATCTAATACAGAAATAACTTTTCGTTCAATTATTATCTGTACAAGGAATACTCATAGTTGATCAAATAAATTAAATTTGCTTTACCTTGTCGACATTTGGATAATATTGATCACCACTTATCCACGATTTTGCCAATGAACAATACAATACTAAAGATGTTCAGACAATTTTTCTCTTGAAATAAAAAATACAACGAAAGGTGAGATAAAATTGAATAAAATAAATACAAAATTTCTATGCAATGAAAGCTTCAGAACGTCCGTTCGACAAATGTTTTTAAGAGTGCGGTGAACAAATGAATTTATCATAGTAATTCATCATGAAAACCAGAAATTTTGTTGTTAATCTACATCCAAAATTATCTACGAGTGTTTTTCAAGATCAATAACGATCCTTTAACAGCTATTTACTTAGAAAAAACATTTTTATATATCGAAAAATCCTTTTTCTCATCTGTTGTATACTGGAGGATGAGAGAAAGATATAGAGAAGATGCAAGAAGTCTTCATTCGGTAACCAGCTAACTAAGCTCGCATACAACCCGAAGACAAAGGGACAAAAAAGAAAAAGCTCAATATAATACACAAGCCAGTTAAATTAAGTCTTTTTGTGAATAGCGTTAAGAAATCGAATCTTTTTTCTTATTAGTAAAACTGGGCGAGTAAGAACTTTCTCGTTAGCCGCCATTTCATAGCTCAGGAACATTTTTCTCTAAGCTGCTCTTAAATTACACGTTATGTATGCAGATCTTAATAATATTTCTTCGAAATTTGAAACGAACAACAACAATAAGAGCTTTTCAACGGATACTCTTAGCAAAAATGCTACTGAGAAACAAAGATAGAGTGTGAAATATGCTAAAGAAGTGCTGTCCAAAAAATGGAACGAATAGCTTTAGTGAATATTTTTATGTAGCATTTTTTAAACTAGTTCGCTGAGAAAAGAAGATTTATCTTGAAACCACAGCATGCAGAAAAAATATTTTGTCTTTGTTCACTTTTATTATGGCTTTAGCATTTGCCATATCTTGATTACTTTTGCCTCTTTTCAATTCTCATGTGAATAGTTAAACATGAAACAGCTAACTTCACTGCAATTAGATGTTATTGCGCATATTTTAAAATGGCAGGAAGTAGACCGTTATATTTTGGGTTTACTGCTTTGGAGTCATCTGTTTTCTATCTCACTGGTTATAACTATCACCATTAAACGTAGCGTATAGATGACTAATCATAGACCACAATGAAAAACGTTGTTTCCTTTTAGCTTCACGAAACCAAGATAAATGCGAATTGACTTAGTAGCTAAACTGCAATTTGGAGCTAAAAGGAAATAACGACTGAGAGGCATACTCATATCGTATTAATTGATAAATGGAATTCTCAAAGCATAAGGAGAAAAACACAAAGCAATTAAACGCATATATTAGGTAAAAATGAGGGAACTTTTTTCTAGACGTTCCAATGTAGCGGTTGATGAAAGAGTATATATCTCAAAGAAGTGCCAACCAGAGCTGCCAGATGGTCCGCATTTTGCGGACAAATTCTGCTTTCTGTAGTTTTTTCCGCAAAGTGTCCGTCCGCAATTTGTCCGTTTTTTGAGTAGTTTTTGTCCTTTTTCTTGCAATGAAGATTTTTACATTTTCTCATAAAAAATTTGGCGCCTTCGGCAGCTGAATGTCCTGTCAAAACAATGCTTTGCAACTTTTATAAAAACAGCTGTGCACTGTTTTGAGAACTAAATGCGAAATTTGCCCCGGGAGGGATCGCTAACCGAAAAACTTCAGTTTGTCTCAAGTACTCCCAAAAGGGAGTGTGAAAAATAGTGAAATACTAAAACTTCAAGAAAGCCAACTCGGTCCGAAAATCTTAACCATTAAGTGCTGTCGTTGGCAGGAAAGTTTCGAATTAAATTTTATCCTGAGAACTCTTGAATTAATTCAATTTATTCTGATAACTCTTGAAATTTATGACGGTTGATCAAAAACGCGCATCCACACAAAAGCCAATATCGATTCAAGTCGGGATTTAAATGATGTTTTGTAGTTTTTTGAAACTAAGTCTGTTTAATATAACTGAAAAGCATTTTTTGTAAAATCATTCTATATAAAAAGCGACATCTCGTAGAAGTATACCCAGATCGAACAATCTTACGAAAATCTTATGCATCTTATGAAATCTTGCAATAAGATCATAGAAACTGTCTCATCTTATAAAAATCATACAAGAGTCCTATGAAATCTGATAAGATCTTACATCAAGAATCAGTTTCGATATTTCTTACAGAATCTTACGTAATCGTACAAGAATCGTTAAGATCTTACAGTAAGATTCGTTGACCGTGAAATATCGAAAGCGCGAGTGTTATGCAAAATGATTATAAGAAAATATTTTCAATTATATTAAACTCTATAATATATAGTGTAACTAGTAAGGATAATGAGTCAGTTAATCAATATCTGGCTGAAGCAATACCGCAACTATTTTCAGTGCTCTATATTGGCTGAATACTTCAGAGTTTTATAGATGTTCTAAGTTTCTCTGATAGCCATTTCTCTCGATCGATTTGTCAGTGCTACCTAGTAGCATCATTAGTCTCCGGTTTAGTTCTGTAGTAAACAATATTCTGATCCTTCTTCACATTCAAACTACATGGACTGTAGTTATTTGTATACATTGTAATGAGCAACACTGTTTATAGATAATTTTGTAGTGGCAACGACTTTTGACATTAAAATGGTTTTAAAATGTGAGATTTGCAACGTTACTGTTCCAGATGGTGAGTTACACATTTTTTCCTTTAAGACTGATAACTAATTACTGTTTTTGTTTGTTATAGAGCGTGTGTTGGCTGAGCATGACAAAGGTAAAAAACATCAGGCTATCGTAGCTGCTAGACAACGTTACGAATATTCACAACTGTCAAGTATTTATGTGTCGAGAATTAAACAACACCATAATGATGAGCAATTAAAAAATTATTTTGCTCAGTTTGGAAGTATTAAAGATTGTTTTATGGACAAAGAAAAGGTAAATAAATATTCAATAATATTTTTATAAAGTCGGTTTCTCCAATGTAAAGTTATGCGAATGAAATATTTAAAAATTAGTCAGAATTTCTTTTGAAGAGTCAGAATTGGAGATAAGAGAAACGCTTATTTATTTCATGCAAAATATGACGTTGCTATTGTTATTTGTTTAGCATGTTTATGCCATTATTGAATATGAAAATCCCGAATCAGTTGAACGATGTTTAGCGTCCGGTAATGAACATAAAATTCAAGATGATCGATTAAAAGTAAAAGCACGTGTTCAAAAGCCATTTCAAGCTAAAAAGATGATATTGAGTGAACAAGAATTTTTAAAGCTAAATACAGATAAAGAAATTGAAAAACATACACAAATGGTTCATGCACTCAACAATTGTTCAACGGTAAGTTGAATCTGTTAAATTCTGTCCAAACATTTCCTCCTTGGTGAATTATTTTGGATCAACACCATCAGCGTTTACTAACCATACATAACGCAAAAAATAAGATTCATTAACAAAGCAGTAAACTACTTTCATTCTTGATTCATCATCAAAAAGCAAATTATTTGTTTTTTAGGTTGAAGAACAAGCCAAATTAGTGGTTGAATATGAAAAAATGGCCGATGTTGACCTTCGTCAATGTGAACAATTTTATTTGGAATTACAAAATTTATTTTCAAAACACTTTCACGGTTGTTATTTAACGCTTGTTTTTCTGTTTTTGCTTATTAGACATTTGAAACTCTCTTTTTCTAATTTCAGATTCAAAATTGAATTTAACCGGCTCAATGGCTAATGGTTTAGCAACGGTTTTATCCGATATGGATTTAGTTCTTGTACTTAATGATACGTACATTGAACCACAATCGTATCATCAATCATACAATAGTGATGATAGCATACGTAGTCCCATTAATAGTAATACTAACACTGAAAATTCAAATGAGTCAAAAATGGACGTTGAAAATGGTAACGAAAAGCTGGTATGTTAATCGAAAATCGTAGTACTTCGACTACTGAGGAAGTTCTTGTTTTTCTTTTGTAGGCAATGAGAAATAATTCGTCAAGCAACGAAGCATCATCCTCAACACCATCACCATTGTCCGTCATTCATTCAGCCAATGAACTTCTTCAACAATCTGTTGCTGATCGTCTCGATTATATTGGCCGTTTGCTTCGCAATCATGCACCCAATGTGTGTCACATTCAACGCATATGTCATGCACGTTGTCCACTTGTACGTTTTTGTCATAAACAACAAAAACTATTTTGCGAACTTTCCATTAATAATCAGTAAGTATAAATACAACGTTTCTTATTATTCATATTAACAACGTTTTTGTGATCTCTTGTGTTCTATCCTTAGTCTGGCTGTTTGTAATACGGAATTGATTCAACTTTATCTTGAATTAGAGCCAAATCTTCGTTTATTGTTATATACACTTCGATTATGGGCGAAACAAAAAGATTTATTTGGAAAAGGAACACGTTTTAATACCTACACTCTTTTCTGGATGCTTGTATTCGTTTTACAACAATTGCAGCGTTTACCGAGTGTTTCAATGTTAGTTCAATTATCTGGTAAGAGAAAGTTTTATATTTATATGATACATGGTAGTACCGTACCGTATTTAAAAGAGCAGGCGGACATTAGAAGTTGTTGGTTGTGAACCGGTTTTTTCATAGATAATTTATCATTCTTTAGTGATCTGCGATGCTTTTAAAGAAAAAATAAACGTCTTCAGAAAAAATCATGTTTGTAGGTTCATTCATGAGAAAATTTCGATAGATATTTGTGCGATCCAAAACTTATCGTGTGATACATGGTTCCATCCAGTTTGACGAGCTAATTCCGAATATGCCATTAGTTTTTGCCAGAAACGTCCCTAGGCTACCAAAATTAGATTTTACATGAAAAGTCAAGATTTTTTAGAAAACTTATATCTCGGCACAGGAATAATTGCACATGTTTGTGCATGTAGTATCAATGTAGTGTAGATACAGGAACAATGTGCCAAAATTTGGGAATTTTTGGATAAGGGGAAAACGGGGGAAACATTCTACGAAATATGTCTGTACGGAAACTCTGTGATTTTTTCCTCCAGTCTGCGATCAAAAACTAAAATTCTTTCGCTATTACATATTTCAAGAGACTAGATTCAGAATCAGCGCCATTTTTAATAATATCTCTGTTAGATGTAGGCTTTTCTAGCCTCATGACCCAAATTTTGAGGCTAACTTTCTGCTACATGTTTTCCAATAATGCTTAGTAGTTGAAACCAAACTTTTTATGACAATGGATAGCCCACATATCAAAGTATATTTCTATGTATTTGAATCTATCACTTTTCAACTTTTGTTTAATGTGAAGTTGACTTTCGAAACATGTTCAGTAAGAGTCTGCAGGAATAGGAAACACAATTTGTTGAATTGAGTCGATTCTGTTTAACGGTGAGTTTGAAATGGTAAAGAACTTTTTGTCACTTTGATTATAGTATGAGAAGTTGTTTCACCCATTACGATTTTGAAAGTCTTGGAATGAATGATGACATCAGTTACTAAATTGAAAAAATCTAGTCTTTTCCTAACCTGACAGTACGGATCTACCTACTCTTTCTATAAACTGATCATAGTTTTCAATTTTTAGCCAATCAGCGTATACATGGTCCGTGGAATTGTTCGGTACCAGACGTTAATCAAGTGAAAAGTGTTTTTCAATCAGTTTCGGGTTGTACGTTAGGTGCGTTCTGTCTATCTGTTTAATCTTTTCTTTAGTTATTAGGATTTCTTTGTCTGTGTTTCAGAGCAAATGTTACAATCGTTTTTCTCATATTATTCGTCAATGGATCCAGTAAAATATTCTGTGTCCGTATGGTCTGGTATGAACAGTGAGGTACAACAACAACCCTCATCTGGTTGTGCTCTATTAGTTCAAGATCCGTTTGAACATTCGCATAATCTGTCGTCTCATGTTTCTGCTTCAAATTGGTTAAAATTTCAACAAGAATGTCGATCAGCCGTTCAGATATTAACTGATTACAATAAAAAACGTTTGAATAAAGCCTGGGGTTGGTGTCTATTATTTACGCGTAAAACATTACCAAAATCAAACTTTAAAAAGAAGAAAAATCAAACACCAACGGCTCAGACGCAAATGAATTTTAATCTGAACCAATTAAACATTACTCAAACAAAAATGAATGAACACTTGTTCCATTCGTACTTGGAAAATATTATTTTAAAAATATTATTATTCGAAACAGTTAATCTAAACGAAATAAACAAACAACGTTATGATCATGAGAAATCTAAAAATAAACGATCAGTTGATAAACTAGCAGAAATAGAAATAACTCCAAATGGTTTGGCTGATCAATTCAACCAGACGCTCGGTGACTCTCTGGGTCCACCAGCAAAACGACCAAAATCCAATGCAAATAAAGACCAGGCATCCGACGAAGAGGATATTGACGATGACGATGATATTCAAATGGCTTATTCAAAAGTGGCAACAACTTTTAAAGTAAGAATAATTTTCGGTGTATCTCTTTATAGAATAGTAAACATAAGAGATATTATTAAATTCAGTATATACATTTTTTGCTGTTGGTTTTAGGTTACTCATGAAACATGGAAAAATCGTCGTCGTTTGAAAAAAAATGTAACTGAAAACGAACTCGATGTATCCACGTTTCTTCATGAACAAATGATTAGTGAAAAATTAAAACAAGATCAAACTAGCCAAATTGCAGAGCCACTTTATTTTACAATGGAAACAACACCCACTGTAACAACTGGCGCATACGACGTACGATTCAGTCTTGTCTCGGATGAACATCAAAATCAACAACATTTTAGTGAATTAGCACATTTTCTTGAACAATTTCTACCAAAAATACTAAAAGATCCTTCAATAATGGCCAGTATAGTACGATAATTATCAGCAGAAATGTAATAATCCAATGACAGCATAATGTTGATACATCTTTTTGTTTTATTCTAGTCGGTTTTTACTTTGTGATACTGTTCTCTGCTTTTTTTTCCTTATTATTGTTTACTTGATTTTCTTTAGTTGTTCTAAAGTGTCTTAACCGGTTTTATAAAAACTTTTTACTGACTTGTCAAATAAGAATATGCGTTTTACTATTCAACATTTTGTCAGTCAAGATGTTCAGCAATGAGGATTTAGCGCTACCGGTGGGACCCAGAAAGACAGACACTACTGCACTTCGATTAACATGCCAACTTCAAGCACAGTCTTACAGAGTATTGCGTTCATTTCCGGTTGGAATATTCCCGTGATGTCCGACAATATGTTTCTTTGATTTCTTCAAACATCTGATATTGCACAGATTGTCGAACTTTTGTTTCGTATGCTATAGCTGATATTATGAAAAGTGATTGTGGTTGGACTATGATCAGTGTCGCTTTTCGACCTACTCCCATCGATTGGTAATCTTGTGTATGACGCATCATCGTCGTCAAAATTCGTAACTGTAATAGGGCTTATCATTGACGCTTTAGCATTTTACATTGTTCGATCAACATGAGGTCGACTATAAGTCAAGAAACAGAATCACAATCATATTTTAACTTACATATCTCTCCATTTTACAAATACAATACGCCCAAAATAGGTTCTTATTTAAGTACTGCATTTATCAACAATGTGGACGGGATAATGCGTGGCTACTATATACTGGCGTGAGTGATACAGTAATGCAAAATGTCGTTACAAACTAAGAGTGACTATCGTTTTTTTGCTTCTACAAATTTAAGTTTTCGTAGATTTGAAACGTGTCAAACTGATTTCTAGAACATTTTACACCGCGTAGTATCTTGAAATTTCGATATTAGATTTTTACTAGTGGTTGTTTTTATTAATGTAAGGTGCCGGAAATGCAAAAAACAATTTTTTGTGTTTTTTTATATTTTTATATATTTTGCGTTTTGCGTATATAATGACTGAACGATTAGTCTGTTAACAGGAAACAAATCGCATGTTTATGAATATTTAGCACAGATGTTTTGTTTTCTTCGTCTTAGTTCTAGTCACATTTGTATTTTTTTCTATCAAAAATGATTTTTGTGAAATATACTGTGCTTTTCTGGTATGATTGTCAGCGTTCTTAAATGAAGGTGATCCATCACTACAGTCAAAAAATATTTCTTTAACTGTAACTTCTTATCGATCATGCATTCACTGCGATACATACGCAAATATCTTTGCTTTAGAAACAAAGCGAAGAAAACATGTGAGTGTCATTGCAACTAGCCACTGCAACGTTAGTTGTATAATCATATTGAGTAAATTCGAACGAAACTTAAAATATGGCAAATTCGATAACATGTGTGAATTAATACGATAAACTCGAGTTACAATGACACTCCCTGTGTCTTCTATTTGACCCTCATACGAATTCATAGGCTAAATAAATACATTATTTGTTATTAAAAATATATACAAGATAAATGATAGAAATTGTATAAGCTTAGTATGTATTATGTTCACAAGACATTATCAGTTTTGACTGGAGTTGTCTTAACAGCTGTGCCACATTTAATATGCATTATTAAATAGACATTATTTTGTTGTTCCGCTTGTATGTTCGTCAATTAATTCTTTCAATTTACTGTTAATACACAAGTCTTTAAGACTAACGAGCACGTTTTCCCAGAGTCAGAAGTTTTTTACTTCAAAAAATCTTCTGTAATAAAAATTTCACAATCCTGTGAAAACGTGCTCATTAGTCTTAAAGACTTGTGGACATAGATAATTCAATGTGCTCTATAAGCTGGAAGAATCAGAGTATCTTAATTCAAACTTTCATATTAGGCTTCTGGAGACCTAGTTTCCTGAGATTGGGTCTGGAAAAGTCTAATTGTTAAAACAGATGCTAGATTCGGCCTCAGCGTCACAAACTACTTATGACAAATGGATTTTTACTAAAAAGAAATCGATTTGACATCTAAAAACGTTCCCGCGTAGGTCATAGATAACTATTTTTTGTTTTAGAGATAGATTAATACACTGGATTGTCTTTTAAATATTTCTTTCGAAATGAGATCATAATTCTTTGTTTAATTTACAGGATGCATAAGAATAAATCTTGCAGTTGATATTCGTTATGCACGCTGAGTATTTTCTTCTTTCATATCTTTTTATTTTAGCAAATGAAACTACTGTCAATTTAGCTTGTTTTAAATTGATATAAACTTTCATTATTAAAGACAAGAAAATAGAAAAATAAACAGATGTTCATTTCTGACAAAAGATATCTTAGATGTTTGATAAAGTGAATATGATGTATTTTTGAAGGAAAAACGGAATACTAAATACTATTTTTAACGAAAACGAGCTCAAAATCATTATCTTATTCCACTAAGTCATTATTTCAACGTATGAAAGGCGTTGCTTAAAGAGACTTAAGGAAACTTAAATTTTATGCAATACAACCATATTTTTCATTCATTTAAAACGCTGCGCATTATATAAAAATACAAACGGAATACTAACAAATGTATAAAAATGAATTATTTGCTTTTTAATGTGCGTAATGTCATTCCATTTCTTCATATATATCAAGTTTGGAAAAAGAAACATTTAAAGATAGCTGACACAGATTTTTTTTAAATTAATAAATGCAAAACTACTGCCATAGTAGTCGTGAGAAAAGAATATAAATATTAACAAAAAATAAATAAATAATAATAAGTAACTGACAATCATAAAATTACAAAAGAAACAGTACGACATCGCTTGACCAATGTTAAATGACTAATAATTATTGGTTAAACGATGAACGAAAAACTCGCCTACACAATTCAGATCAAATTAACAACGGTTCTGTTTTATGTACAAAATACTGACTGGGTTAATAAAGCAAAATAAGAAAATAAAATTTCTAATACAATAGCAGTAGATTGCTAATCATAACAAAAAGATGAGTAAGATGCACGGAAAACAGAGTTCGAACGGAATTTAGATTCCGCTCGTTTATACATCATTCAATAGAGAATTGCATGAGGATCACGAATATCACGTCCCCATCTTCCAAAACCGTTTCCTCGCCGAGATATCTTCAAAATACTTGGAGCATGTCAAAGACCTTAAAAATCTACATTTTCAAAAAAGTGACCCTAGGTTTTCCGGATTTCGAGTTTTGAGGTTAAATGTTTCAGATTCAGCACTGAAAACTGAATCTGCAAAATCAACTTTCAGACCTCTAGGACCGAAAATGGATTTTTCTCGGTGTCTAAAACCGATACGTGTTGAAAGTGTGCATCAAACTTTGCGACCCTAATTCAAGCTTTCCCAAAAGAGCTAGTACCAAAACTTTTACACGATTGGATTCGCCAGAGGCCAGGCCTCAAACTAATAAAGAGGTTTTTACGAAATTCTTTTTCTTCACTGAGAAAATCGACTTTTACTGAGCACGTCTCCACGACGGCCAAGTCCTTTTGCATTATTTTCGCGAGTTTTGCTTCAAAGTCACTTCTGATAACGCAGAATGGATTAGAAATGATGGAGAATCTGATGATGATACTGTAGAGATCTTCACAGGATTTTCAGAGGATGTCTGGTGGTTTTTGAAGGGAGTTAGAACGAAACTCCCTGCAAAAACCACCAGACACCCTCTGGATTTCCTGTACTTGGTATTCACCAATTGAAGTTCAGCCTCACTTGATTTTAGACTGAATACTCTGTCAAAATTTGTAGTCATTTTCTATTCTATTACTTTCTTTCCACGATCTATAGGAAACCAATGATGTGTTAACCCTTCTGGAAATATTATTATAGGCACCGAATGCGTTGTACAGTTCAAGGTAGGTTCAAGCAATTCGATAACTAAACTTTCTTTCATTAATAAGTAATACGAATTACTATACTATCAGTGCAGATGACGTCGAAATTCAGCCAATCTATTGTATGATATTTATCCTTCTCGTGTTGTCCTAGTGAGGATTTAAGGATCACATCAGTGACGTTTTCATGCATAGTCAGGAAAAACGTCACTGGTGTTGGGATGCGGTAAGTGTTCAGGAAACGTATAATGGTAAAAAATAAGGTTATGATTTTAAAGTGAGTAGTTTTGAGTTGAGAGAGCCCGACCTTCATCTTCAAATAATCAAAAAATATGAATTGACAGCGTTCATCTTCGCGTTCACGAAAACTTGTAGTCACACAACTTGTTTGCTAAGTCGATGGCATATCCCTAGTACAACTTGTTGATCGAAAAAATCAAGAAATTAGGATATTTCTTTAGACAAAAAAACGGGGTAAGAATTTTTTTGTGTCAGACTTTCTCATTTATTCGTGCCCGATGCTACTGATTAATGCCCGGTCTGGGTATAAATAAATGTTTTCATGCTTTTGTGCCCGGAAAAAGAAATGTGTCTGATTGATATACGCTTTATTCTGTCAGAATACAAGCGGAAAAATATTCCATTATAGTATTCTAAACTAAAACTATCGAAAAACACAAAATCACTTTTGTACGAATACAGATTAGAACACATGAATTTAGCTTTGCAGAAACTGCAAAGCTGTGTCGGATTGTTTCAGATGTGCCCGGTTTCTTTACGACTGTCTTATGAAAATGATAACAATGTCTATGGGTAGATTCAGTCGTACAAATGTCCATGTTGTATAAGAAACTTTTGTTTACAATTTGATTGAAGTAAAATTCAGTAATAAATTACTGTACTGCACACAGTGAGTTATATTATACGTCATAATGCTCTGCTCAAAACTGGAAAACAACATAAACATCTATACTACGGCGAAGCGGCAGTGGATCTTTGCTGACAGATTCCATCATCATATTGTAAACAATATACATCTAGTACTTGGCTAAATGCTTATAACACAATGCCTTGGAAACAATTTGATGAGTTTTTATCATGGTTGTATGCTGGAAGATTGGTCATCATACCTATGATGTGTTCATGCAAAACCAACTTGAAAGTTTATATTTGCAAACATGCAGTTGGAATTATGATGCATTTTGATTTTTATGTAGTATCGGATCCAGGAAAACTAGATGATTCAGGTAAACGACGCGGACGTCCAAAAAAAGGCAACACCAGCTTTATGGCGCTAACTTTATCATGTTGTACATATGTAATTGTTTTTTTTTGGTAGTATCCATTAAACCGGGCACAAAACTCTTGTTTCTTGAAAAATCAATCAAAAATCGTAAACCGGGCACTAATCAATGCAATTGTGTCTTAGATGGGCACATTTATCTTTTCCGGGCACAAAAATGTGAAAACATTTATTTGTGTCTGAATCGGACACAAATAAATGAAAAAGCCGGGCACAAAATATAATTTTTCGAAAAAACGTTACCTGCTTTCTTGGCGTGAGATCTTGTGCCAAAAAACTCAAGGAAATACATCTTATATTTCTTGCTCGAATATCTTGCGTCATGAAAGCAAGAAGATCTTTTTTATTTTTGTTGAATGAAATAATATTACTTTTACACAAGAAATATCTTCTTGCAAGGCAAAAGAAATACTTTTGGCTGTTGTTTTTCCGACACGGTATATATAGACACCTAAGCATGTATGCATGTATACAGAGATATATAACGCACATCGGTACTTGGGCTGAGATGAAAAAATGTGTTCGTTATTTTGTGCACTTTTTCGTTTTTGAGCAACTCAAATTCCTTAGATGAAATTTTCAGTTTAAACCAAAAATGAGATTTCACTTCCTGTTGTCCGGACAAGCTACGATTACCGAGATATTCACTATTCTATAAGACCAAAAGCTTCAGTAGGGTATATACCTGCCTGAGCTCTTTAAGCAGAGAAAACTAAGAGTCTAAATATTTCTTGCCTTATTTCTTTGATCAGGATATCGGATTTTATATTTTTCAGATCAAAAACTAAATTTCTTTGGTTGCTTGAGTCAAGGTCTTGTCCCCAAAAAATGCAAGAAAACAAAGGGACGCTTTCTTGCTAAAAAACGCAAGATATTGGATCGTAAGCTGTTAAACGCAACCATTATGCAGTAAATTCTGAAATAATGGCCAAATAAAATGTATAGCTTTACATAGGTTAAAAGAATTTTACTGAGAAGTAATCGATCAATGACACATACAAAACAATGGTACAACACAAAAAAGTAACGACATAATTATTTTCGAAGCAATAGTGAGTGTCTAATGGATATCGCTAAAATCGTCTGGATCGAAGAAGAAATGGAAAAAATATATCCAGTTTGAAAAAAAATCATAATGCGACTAAACATCGAACAGTAACGTATCTAACACCTTCACTTTTGCTCTCTGGAAATGCAATAACATTATGAGTCGATTTAGTCTGTGCTTGTCGTTGTTAATGAAGAGGATGATTTACATATTTGCCTGATTTGAAATTAATGAATATTCTTTATCTAGAAATGGGAGTGTATGACATCGATGTATAGGTATTTGAATATTTTTGATTAATTTTTTAAGTTAAAAATAAATAACGGTGACTATGCTGGCTATTATTATCACTTGTATCCATAATTATGATCGAATTTGTAGACTTACGTCTTATTGACAATGCATAAGAATCATCCTCTAACTCACAATTATTCCTATTTTGTGTAATTTTTGTTGTTAATGATTGATTTTGTTCAACAATTATCTTTGGTGGGAAACAATGTATGTAACATGTCCAAAAGTTTCTAGTGAGAAACGATCGAGAAAATGGGCAAAATAGTATTAAACATAATATCGATTTACAACCGGCACCACTTAGTAGAATTTGAGCAAATAAACGACCTGAAAATATTTCAGAGCTTACAGAATACGACAGACTATAATCAACAATTATCTCGTACACGCGAAACATGAAAAATGGTAATGATGTGATAGTAGAAAGAGAAAATATGTACAAAACATATAAACATATTTGACGTTCAGGTGGTGCTGTTGTGGAGGAAGGTGAATGTAGAGGACTGTGACAGGATACACGACATTGTAACCAGATTTCCAAAACTAATCCTAAAAAATAGAAGACAAATATAGACTTTTTTCATTCAAATTTTCACTGTCTTTACTTATTATTAAATAAACCTAATTTACTGTCATGAAAATTTAAATTGTAAACATCATATTATAAAATGTGTGGCAAAATTGAATTTTTTTATAAACATGCTAAGAAATGTTTGCTTACCTAGTAGATGTAATAAAACTAATAAAAGAAAATCAGCATGAATCAAATGTACTAATCGAGCGGTAAATGTTAAATTAAAGTTTGTTTGTAAATAACACACGGTTCGAGCATCTAAATTTTCAGTTTCATTACTATGACTAGTAATATTATTAAGAGCCAAATTGAAATCTTTCACATTTGTAACACCCCATATCCATAAACCATCTACAGACCTACGGTAGATAAAAAATATTAATAACAAATCGAATCAATTGAAGATTACAAATAATAATAAAGCGTTCAAAGTGGGAGTTCATCCAACGGAGTAAAGATAAAGGCTCTAATAGTACATCAAATGGACATGAAATCAATGCAATCTAATTATTCACTAGTTATTCGAAATACCAGCTCATGACTAATACACTGTCCATGCAAGACGGGCAATGTATCAGTCACAACGAACTAGTTATAAAAATACTCTCCATTCCAGTTCTAACTAGTCGGAGTGCCAAAAAGTGACTCTGGTTACTGACTGTTGGTGTTTTTTGACTATTCTTGTGCTAGTTAAGAGTCGGTCAGTGTCCGAACAAAAATTGACTAATCAACAATAAACTAGCCAGCAACTAGATCCTTTTTTCTCGAACTAGTCAGAGATGACACTCGGAACTTTTGGTACTAGTCACCGATGGCGTCATCGAAAAATTTTTGTCTGCCTGGGATAGAAACAACTTTTCTCTTTGCACAGCAACGTGATTGAATATAAAAGGCAGGAAGATTGTTAAAAAAGTTTTCTGCTAGTGGAAAAATGTTTGTTTTCCTCTGTTTGGAATTCTGGATAACATATCAAAATACTTTTCAAAAGTAAGGAGATTGTAATAATTCCTAGTATTTGCACTTCCGTCTTTGTACTATATAATAGAGGAGTAACGGTTTTTATATGACGAAGTTTTTTGTTATTTTTCTCTTCTGACGTACTTTTCAATTTTAATTAAAGAAGTCAACTTATTCCTATATCATCTTTTCTTCGGATTACACTGTAATTACACTTGTCTTACATTATACTCTCTGCCTTTGTATTAGAATGAAATAGAGACTGTATAATTTTTACGCAGATCTATTTTAAATTAACATGTTTTGTTTAACTCAGTTATGGCGTAATACCTATACTGGAAAACATAGGCGAGTCTTATAATCGTTATGCTCTAGAGGTATGTTAGAAAAGAGAATGTTCTATATAATGTCTGCCAGAATGTTAATTATACTTTTTTGAGCATATAAAAATGAGCAATAGTAGCCAAAAGGCACAAAATTTACAACCGTATATAGAGTTACTATTTCGATATTATTTCCGTTTTGTAATTTATGATCAATTAAAAGCTAAAGCTTTGAAATATCTCAAAATACAAATATTTTTGTGTTGTTGCACCTTGATAAACGTAGAAGTGCAATAAATTAAAAGAAACATCTTGCGTCTTACACGAGTCTCCCAAATTGAGACTACTTTTTTGATAAATTGTGGCCTCAATTTGAAAGTCTTAATTAACATCGAACAAACATCAGAGGGCTAGATGTCAAGTGAGAGTGAGTCAAAAAAATAGTGGTCTCAATTAAGAAGTAGCCGTCTTGTAGAATTCTTTGGAAAGGGCAATCAGATTCTTTCCGCATTTTGAATCACGGAGTAATGTAAAACAGCTAAAACAGACTATATTCTGAAATTTTAACTGTTTTGAATCGATTCTGAGTGATAGTTGAGAATTGTTCAATTTTGTATCAAATAGCTTAAAATGGATAAATTCATCTGAAGCAATTTTTCACTCGAGTTTTTAAACTTTTCATGAAAACAAACATTGCAATGATACTGACTACCGGCCATAGCGAAAATCTATTTTTTCATATGGTTTTGACTGATCTGATGTTCAAAAGACATCAGATATCGGTCTTAGATTGCTGTCCTGTTGTTCAGGATATCTACCATTACCTCTGAAATATAAAAGATGAAGATCTTATCTGACTCCCGTTTTGAAAGGATCTCTGCGCTATCGAAGCATGAATAAGACACAAATATATGTATTTGAAATATTTGAGTAATGAGCGATATTTTCGAAAATTTATCAACAGATGGCTCTTGATTGGCGAAAATCGCAGTCATTTAACTATCTTCAATTAGAAAAAATGACGAAACCCATTCGTTTCCTCTCCTTAATACTGTAAGTTAAAGTAATAAGTATACTACACTTCCAGGCTTATAATAATAGAGAGTTGAGTTTAATTTTTCATCATAATCGCCAATTAAAGGCCTTAAGTATCGCTTGATTTTGCAAAAGAACTACATGAGTATATGTCGACACTTTTCTCTATCATTATTATAGACTCTTCAATGCTTTGTATTCGGTATAGATAAAAAATGTTTTAATTTTTAGTACTCGAGTCTGACCTGGCAAACATTTTTCAAACGCATACCCAATGAACATTTATCGAACTTGATTTTTACTCGAACGCAACTCAAGAGTTTGAAAAATAATGTTAAGGATTCAAGTTTACTGATAATTATCATGTTTCATTCAGTCCTTCATGTAATATCATTAGAAGAGCTCGCTTGCAACTGTTGAATTTTCATTTATGGTTAAATAATCTTTATAAATGCAACAAAACATTAAATTCTATCTCTTCTTCATCTTCCTCTTCTTCTTCTTACCATGCAAAACTTAAAATTATTGATAATAATATTGATAAATTTGAGCACAATAATTGATTTAATGTTCTAGAATAATGTTTACAAGATTTAATTAAGTAATGATAACGACATAATATTGAAATTGTCAATAGTGGAGTAAAATGGAGTGTAAATTTCCATAGAAATGCATGTGATGAACATAAATGATATTTAGATAAAAATGAATAATATTTTTCATCAAGACAGCTAGAAACGGCTGATAAACAGAGAAGAAATTCATTTAATGTTAGTGGAATGAAAAAATAATATTGACTATCAGAAAATAATAATTTATTCGATTTTCTATTACTATTAGTGTAGTCAATTAAATAGATCAATCTAATAAAACATAATAAATTACACAATGAACCAATCAAACTTAGAACAAATGTTAAATTTGAATGAAATAATGGACTATGAACAAATGTATTTTTTGTATCATTCGATGATATAACGTAAGTATCATGCAGTAACATTTTACATGAATCTAGAATAAAAATAATAAAATGAGGATCATTCCGACTGAGATGTAGAAAAAAAAAAAGAATAATAAAAAAAAAACATTTTTTTGGAGAGTAATTTGATAATAAATCAGAATGACAGGGTGTTCATTTATATTTGATAGATAATATAGCCTCGAGAAAAAACAAATAGAATTTGCAGGAACAAAAGATAGAAACTGTGTGAACATATTTGTTCATCTTTAAACTTTTTGAGATTATGAAAAAAATAACGCAATGTCTTTCATATTTTGCCGGTTGATTCAAATGAGAGAAAAATTATGCAGACAGTTAAACAGAAAATAATTAATTGAATATAAGTGAATATTAACATATGAAAATGTCATATGTTAATTAAGGTCCACTTAATTTTACTAGAACGGTATCCTCTCGTTTCGTCCCCTCGCATTTCGTTCCTTTATGTCTTTCTAATACTAAATAGATAGTTATAAAATAAATAGAATGATAAAAAATATAAAGGACAAAATGGCAATGGGACGAAATGAGAGGGGACAAAACGAGAGTAATTCACTAGAACTTCTATGAAAAAAATTCGTCATTTTTGTACAAATAAAGAAAAGCAGAATGAAGAAAAAAAAGACATGAAATGATTGATGAATATTATAACTTAAATTGAAATTCAAGAACAAATTTGGAGCTAATTAGCTATCAAAATAATTGAATAATAATATATTTAAAATTATTATTGTTATTAGTAAATTCTTATTCTTTTCTTTTCTGTTGGTGAGACTCAAAATATTATTATACTAGGAGTGTGTTAGAGATTGAAGACAGACTTATAATACCCATAAAGTCTTGAGAAAAATGGTACGCATCAGTTACTTTCTTCGTTAACTCTCTGAACTTCTCAATTTGCTCATTTATGACATAAATTTCTCGAATCATTCTTTTAAGTGTTACACACATCTTCTGTTTGTGACTAAAAGAAGCTTATGGCTTATATAACCTACTTCTTCCATTCTGAAAAGTGATAAGAATAATCGAAATGGGAAAATGTCGGTTTGACAATCACGTCGAGTGCACGATTTACTTCCACTAATATACTTTTCATTAATTAGATTCTCTTTTAATTAGTTTTTCTTCTACAGAAAAATATTTTTTTTGCCATAAGGGATTTACTTTCCATAAATTCCATACTAAAAATCTATTACCTTTATATTTCACTCCTATGCATCTATATAAATAATATTAAAAATATAGTTCAATTTCACGTTGTCCTTTTCTTCCAGACTTTGCTCGTACTTCAGAAAGCGTTTAACAATTATTGAGTCACTGAGTATTGCTCGTTCCGACTGAGAAAATTAGTTAATTTTGTCATTATTGATAAATGTCTATTCCGTTTGAAAAATTTATTTATTAGCTAAAATGAATATGCTTGTGCTAATTTCTTTTCGTCACAACGGACATTATGTTTTTATTATTTACACAGCGAATAAAAAATACCTTTGTAGGTTTAATAATGATTAAAATATCTATCTAAGTACTAAAATAGTTAATATAGTTATTCGATATGCAATTTCAATTATATTTTTATGCTAGATGACTGTTAGACATCTGTATGTCTTGAAAATCCATCTTTTAGTTGTTGCATGTTTTGGTTGCTATAACTCTATTAGACACTGTCAACATAGCAGTTAGTTGCGAGGCGCTAACCACTGTTCAGATGTATAGTCACTTCTAACTCATTAGTCAGACGTGTAATTATATTTAAGTCATCAAAAGTACACTGACGTACTAGACAGACAGTTAGATATCCTAGTGTGCCACTAAAACACCTGTTAGGACATAGAAAAAGTAACATGTGTGCATTATTGCATTTCAATAATAATCCGGTTTTTTATCTATTTTACGAAGAAACATATTTGAGTTACTCCCCCTAGAAAAGAGACGAGACCTAGCCTATCTTGTAGAGAATTTTATGCTGATCACGAATATGTATATCTTAGCTGCTCGCGTTGAGATCTCAATACGAGCGAGAACATGATTTAATTTGCCTAGTTTGTACTGACAGACGTGTCACGTGATAGCATTAACAAACGAAGTTCAATTATTTTAAAGAATACCATAATTTGTACTGATTTATTCAACTCCAATTTTTGTTCAAAGCAACAATCTGGCATTGAATGAACCGGTACCACCAGATAACAATGACAAATTGGACATTGATTCACCATCAGACGATGAAAAAGAAATGCAGAATGAAGTAGTGGTTCAAGGTATGAAGAGAATTGCAAGTGAAGAATATCTATTACAAGCTTTTGATCTATCAAAAATTGATTTTTCGTCAACATCTGAAGATAATAATAATCATGAATATCGAGTACAACAAAGACAACGAAAAAAGTTCAATGCCACAACAACGATTTCTAATGAGAAAATGAACAAAGTGCAGCCATTATCCACGATGGCTTCGTACTTTCATAATTGTAACTCCTTATAAAATCCACAAAATTTGTATAAATCGTTCTATCTCGCACAATCAACATTCAGCAGATAAATCATTTACATACAAACCGTCAGTAAATCATAGTCAACAAAATAAAATAAAAAATGCTACGAGTTTCAGGTTTCCACCATTCAAAATACGATTCGACAATGAGCAAAAACCGAGCGAAATAAAAGTGCTGAATGAACCTGTAAAGTTTAATTCGAAATTAAATTTATCATTTGCACGTTACTCAAGTTTTACGCAAACATCGAATGTTCTATTAATATTCGCTAATGACACATACATTCGAAGAACTACATAGAAATGAAAAATGACCGAAAATGTTATGTGAAAAGAACTTCGAAGTTGAAGTGCCAAAACGGATACCAACATGTTATTCGATCATAATTCATAATGTAGCCAAACAATGGAATATTGATGAAAGTTATCAAGCCCTAGCTAGTGAACAGAAAGCAATAGCAAAAATAAACAAAATATTAGAACATTTTCCATTTTGTTGCCTGTTTCTGTTGTTGATTTTAGATTAATAGTAGTAGAAGTTTGTTCCACTGTCTCTCCTTCATAATCTCTTCTTGTAGTAAAAAAATACATTTTAATGTATCACAATCTTTCTTCTATTCTCCTATTTGCTCTCCTCTTATATTATTCAGAAGTACAAGACGGAGTTCTTGAAATAACGAATCAGTATTTTTAACAAAATCTGATCTGTCTTTAGAAGGAGAATAGGTTTAGTCAGATACCACAGTTTTGTATAGTGTATTTTACACTTCTGTAAAATAAAACAAACTATCCATTTTCTTGTTTATTTATATGAGAGACTTATTGTAAATAAACAGGGCACTATGGTTTCTATTGTTATAACAATATAGGGTATATGTAAAAACCGCACAAGCGTGAACTTGAACTTATTTCATTATCAAAGAAAAAAAGCAGTAACAAAGAAAGGCAACAAGTGCATTCTATAAGCGGTACACATTAAGAAATCAGTGAAATGCCACACATACTACTAACTAAAGAGTTTTAGATAACTACAAAGTAGAGATAGATGGGATCACACAACAGGACTTCTTCTACAACGAAAAATTTATATTCTTTGCTTTTTGTTTCTGAAAATAATTTTGAATATTACATTAAACGAACCTTGCTGCAACAGCAGAAGAGGAACTTCTTTCATTCTTTTGCCCTACGCACAAGAAGTGAAGCGGCGAATGAAGCTTTTCTTGCAAAGATCATTTTGAACTGACGAGCCTGAGTATTCTGTTGTGAATCTCGGTTAATTGAAAACGTTATGAAATTAAATCGGGAGAGAGCTGAATGGTTGTTTAAGGTTTCTCAATGACATTGGAGACTCGCTACTTTCGTCTATGAGCCAGAGATTCTAAGCCAAGATTATGTTCTATAACAGCAGAATTGAAACGGTAGTTTTTAGAAATGATTCCGGCTGTCAGACAACGGATAGAATTGAGAGGGTTCTAGGTGTGTCTTGAACGTACTGTCAAAAATGGCTGCTCCATACTCCATTACAGGTCTTACGCACGTCAAGTAAAGGTGTTGTCTCAGTTTATGCGACGCTTCCCGAAACGTTCTACTTATCGTGCCTAGCTTCTGACGATACTTACCAGTTATCTCCTCTATATATTTTGTCCATTTTAAATCATGACTAAGGACTACACCTAACAACTTAACCTCAGTAACACGCTGCAGAACACACTCTTCTAATGACAGAGTAGATGAAGAAAGACACAATGAAGACTTATCAAAACCTAACAACTAGATTTTTCAAGAAGAAGTTATGTCTGTTTAACTGCTCAGCTAAGTTATTGTCATGATTTTTCCAAGTATTTTACTAACATTCAAAATTAGACTAACTGAGCGACAGTTTTCAACTGCTGAACTATCACCTTTTTTAAATATGGGTCTTACCAAAGCTTTTTCCAAAAATCTCGAAAATTTCTCTGCTATCAAAGAACACTTGAAAAGATGCTGAAGTTGCGGAGCTATACTATCAGCTGAGCCTTTCAAAAATTTAACCGAAACTTCATTATATCCTTAGCGTTTGTATTAAATATGCTTTCATTCTCTACAAGAACTGAATGGTTTTTTAAGCTCATACGAAGTAAACTGTCGACTGAGTGACACTCCTCTTTTTTGTACTCACTTTGTACTTGCAGTATGAAGTTTATAAAGCATTACAGTTTTACGGTTG